CTCCATCCAGTGACTGGAATGGAGAAGTTTTAAAACTAAGCAAAGGTGCAGAACCAGTCCCTTATCTCTCTGCTTGTTGCCTAAGATCCTTCAAGGCAAAAAAAATGCCTCAGTCTTGAATAAATTAGCAACAAATGCTTGAGGACAAAGACAATTTCATTCTTCAAAATCTTCTGAAATGCACTGATTTAGCTGTCTGATAGAAGAAGTTCAGGCAATGAGTGGTTTATTTTTTCTTGTAGTTATTACGGGTGCTATACAGCAACAGAGAGACATTTTCTGAATTGGGTTCTGCATTCTCTGTTGATTTTTGGAGATCTCCTGACATCATGAGGATGCCAGATATGTGGTTTGTTCATGTTGGGTTTTTTTGGTGGTGTGTTTTGTTTTGGTTTTTTTTTTTAAAGTGTTTTACATATGGGCAAAAAAGATGGAAAAAATAATAATTTCTTGTAACCACATTTACATTTGGAATAAAAGCTGTGTTAACTCTTAACACAACTTTGCCCTCATGAGAGTTGCAGCCTTGCCAGCCCTGGATAAGCTCTTAACCTCTAAAACAACTCCTTGTCATAATCATTGCAGCTAGCATAGCAACTTTTAAAGCCAAAAATCCTCAGAGTACCTCCAAAACATATCAAAAAGCTCTATTAAGCAAAAGATTGAGGTTCCCATAGGGGCTCAACTTAACACTAAAGAGTTGGGAACAGACGTAGCTTTGCAAGCAAGTGAACACAAAGAAGTGAACCCAAAGGACTCCCAGCACTGGTTTTGGACCTTTCTAAATTTGCAAATTCCTGAAAAATTTTAAGTCGAAGTGCAGATATCTTAAAAAATTTTACATATGCTGATGTATTTATACCCCTGCTTTTGCCAGCCACATTTCATGAGCCTATAACAGTAATCTACATAGTGCTATAGTAGTCAGTAGACCATAGGCTGAAAATCACTGAGTAAGGCTATCAGCTCACAGTGGGCCAAAAAATCCATGGAGATTCAATTTGCATGCAAGAAAATGTCCCAGGAACGTGTGATACAAAATGGATCTGGATGTCTCCTGCCAACAGCAAAGGACAGGTCTGAGGGCTGAAGTCCCCAGTGCTGGAAGCTGAAGAGAAGAGTCTTCCCAGCTGGGTAGAGCCCACTTCCGTCCAGAAACCGTTTGATGTAATGAACTAGCTCTAAATGCTAATTCCCCATCAGGATGCAAAATAGGGACTGCAGCAAAGAATGCATGTCAGATAATATAAATACACACATTCCTGTTACTTTCTCCTGCTAGGAACCGACACCATGTGATGCTCATACCCTGGGTGAGGATCTAGCACCTTGCCTCATGGGCAACAAGCTCTCCAGCTGTATCTCTGAGGTCACACCTTAGAAACGGGCACAGGATATAGCTTATATTGCCAGCTGCATGTGAAACAGATATCCCTTATAGGAGGCTCACAAAATAATGTTTTGATTGGGTTCTTCAGATCAGGAAGCATTTGAAAAATTTAACCTTTGGAATTTAGCATTTCAATACTGAACCATAGTTGGTAGAGGAAAAGGTTCATGAAATGCTGGATCAAGTTTGTGCATCAAACAGCAACACATTGGGAGGATAATAATGGACAAGAGTCCATCGGTACAGTTCTTATTTGCTTTTATTACTCATCTTCACTAAAAAGATTCTGCAAGCATCTCCTTGCACAACATCAGGAGCCTTAAAAATGGAGACGGACATGATTCCAGCTACCAGACTGGATATCTCTGCTTCAGAGATATCTCATGTTTTAAACAAACGTTGCAGCAGAGATACAATGCTGAGATTTCCTTCCTCTGCCTGCTTAGGGACCCACGCTGAGCTGGCCGGCCAGCTGCCATGCCTGCTCGAAGGGTTTCCTGCAGTCTTTTTATGCTACTTGCTCTCACTCAGCTCCTCAGCTCCCTCCCTAACTGACCCTAACTGCATCAAAGACCATCAAGGCCTGTTTTCCTGTCTGTACTTCCTTCTGAGCCACAAGGTCTCCTCAGAATAAACAACACAGACTTCAAAATAAAAGAAAGGGTATTTCCATGGCGGTTCTTTCCACACTAATTTAAAACCTGGTCCCTGGGACATTCACCAGCATCAAAAGTGGCTTTTCTAGGGAGTGACTTTCCTTGGCCTAAGGCTGAGGCAGTGCTGTGATGGAGCGTGGGCATCACTCTCATGGCGGACCTGAGGCCAAAAGGAGAGGCAGAGGGCACGATGCCCAGGACAGGCACAGATAAGATCACTCTTAAAAAAGGCTCCAGCTCAGAGCACCTTCTCGTTGAGAGGAGCCTGGGGCGGAACAAGACTGTTGGAGGATGCATGGCTCCAGCCAAAAGGCAGAGATCTGGCACACAGAGGGCTGCTGCAAGCAGGCTCCCGCTTAATGGTTCATGGAAAATGAGACGTGCAGGCAAAGACCTTCGGGCTGGCACAGCCACCAACGGGTGCACTCACTCATCTGCCTCTTGGATTTTCTCCTCTGAGGCTCATCTGGAGGAAAGTGGGGTGTATATAATGATCCTAGGACGGACTTTCAAAAATCACTAAATCCACACTGGATTTCCCATCCTATACATTTTCGATACAAGCCAAGCAAATCTTTTCTTTTACTCTCAGGGAGAGAGTTGTGCCCTGTCTGCTACTCCTTCCTGGTTTCTTCATGTCTCTTCTAAAACACACTGACAAAGTGTATTTTGGGGAACTGAAAGAGGAGAAAGGTTCCTGCACCTTCTGCTTTTGTTTTATTTAAAAAACTGAGCTTTGCAAACTTTTTCTATGCAGAGTGACCCTGTAGTCCAGTCCATTTTATCTTTCCTTCCCAACTGCTTAGTTTTCCTGGGAAAAGGAATTATTAGCTTTGACTGCAGAAGCATCCTCTGTCCACTCGGGTATGTGCATCCTGAAATAACTGGGTATCCTGGGAGAGAGAACTGTGCCTGCTCCTGTGCTATATACAGGTAAAGACAACCCCTGAAAGCATGGCTTTGACATGATCCTTTCACATATTCCTTAGCCTTCATAGAAGATCAGGGAAGGGCAGGGAAAACCTTCATCTGGAGGCTCCAGGAGGCCAGCACAGGCCTGACAGCCCCTGGGAGAAGGACAAACCAGAAACAAACAGGCCAAGAGGACTTGGGTGTTTTCTTTCTCCCCCACATGCAGGCAGCTCCCTCTGCCTCATGCCTGTACAGAGAACAAAAAGCAACAAAGCAGGGAAGACTGGCAAAGCACAGCAGCATGAAAGAAGTCCACTCAGAAGACAACTTTAAAAAAAAAAAAATTCCACTTGGTTTATTTTTCCTCAGTTGGATTGCATGAGAATAATTTGTTCCAAAGAGGCTTGATCAGGGCACGGGGCAGTGCTGCAGCCATCCACCTCTGCATCACAAGGGGATTTGTAGCCAGCAGGCTACAGAACTCCCACAATCAAGTAAAAGCCCAGTAACACCTAGCACCCTCTTGGGTGGACCTTACAAGAAGACGATCCCTTCTGTAATGGTACGTCTCCTTCCTTGTAGACTGCAGCAAGAGGCCTCATACAGCATTTTCTGCAGCCAGAGTCAGAGACACAAGGCAGACTTCGGCGTGCGGCCACATCCCTGATCAGCAGGTATATCAACAAGTGCCAAGTATGAGCGACAGCCCTGCAGTGGCTTTGCAGGCTTTCTGGGAAAGAAGAATTCTTGTTCAAACAGATGTCTTCCTTGAACACTTTCTCCAAACAGCGGATGAGAGAAAAATGCAGATGTATGTGCCACAAACCAGCTCAGTGAATGGTTTCCTGCAGCATCTAAAACCCACACATATGTGATCAGTAGAGGCTCAGAAGTTGAGAGTTTCAACGCCTCAGATCTGAGGGGCTGTGGGATCACAACACTGTCATAAATCTACAGATAATTCAGCTGACAAAGTGGAAAGAGGGAGAACAGAGTTCAGCTTAGGATCTCTCAAGAAGACTGTTTAAATTTTCTGTGAAATAGAACAGCAATTTTTTCTTAATCTTGCCTCAAAAACTGGTATTGTACAGTATAATTAGAAATAATTTTATCAGCCTCAAATTTTCTTTCATCTCTGATTTTTCATCAGTTTTATAGCCCTGTAATACTATTCTGTACCTGGGTCTAAATGACATGACAATTCATTGGCCACATTGCACAGAATGAAATCAACCCAAAAAACAGGGAATGATGTCTTTGATATCATCATATTGTGACAATTAGCAAGAGCAAGAAAAACTAAACACGCACACAAAAAATCACTTTATCTTCTTTATTAGTGGTGGATAGGCTAATCAAATCATGCAATATTTCTAACTAAGCCTGTTACTGGATCTCATCAAACTAAACGAGAAGAACTTGGATGGCAAAGCAAGCTTACAAGAGGGAAGTTCCTTAAGTCAGAATCATCAAGATTTGGCTTCGGGAGCTTTACTTTCTGTTCTGTTGGCTTACAGCATAGTAGAAGTACAAATAAGGCAGAAGAGAAAGCTAAAAAGGCAATGAGAAGAATAACACAACTTATAAGGCACACTCTGCCCATCTGACAATTCCCAGCATCCTATAAACACCAAAAAGAAATTCAGCCAGTGACCTTCAAAAAAATGGATTCTTTTATCCAGGGACTGCGTATTCAAGGTCTAAGTTTCACTAGATGTCAGTCTGCAAGAGTGGCATATTAGCTATTCAGCTGTAACTCCTGTAATGACAGGAGACAGCTGAGATCTGCTCAAATCAAATTACAGTTCTGATTATGCAAAACACTATGGTTCTGCATTTCCTGACACCAAGATGACTTCAGAGTGCAGCTTGAAGATATCTGCTCTAAGATTTCTGAAAACAGGCAATTAAAACAACAAAAGAAAAACTATTTTATTACTCTACTCATATTTGGTCAAGAATACTTCATGACGTTATATATACAAATGTGTCAACAGCTGAATATAAACACTGAGAAGGATTTTGTAAAATATATCTCATACCGTCAGGGAGTTGTTTACAGGACAAAGCATCATCAAGATCTTTGGCAGTTGATGGGTCGATGGTGAAAATGCATTCTTTCCTATCCAAGGAAAAAAGAAGAAAAAGAAAAATTTATCTTCCAGTCATGAAGAAGGTATCAAAACACAGAGACCATCAGAGACATCCAGACAAAAACAACCATGCTTTCAGAAGACTGTCTGTTGAAACATCTTCCAATCTAATCTGAAAGTCTAAATCTAATCTAAAAAAAAAAAAGGTTTTAGACAAGTGAATCTCCTTCGGTTTTTTTTCCTTTTTATTTTTGGTTGAACTGCTTGCTTTTAACAGCTTTCTTCTAATTACTGATTTTCCTCCACAAAAACTAAACAATTTAGCCCATCAAGTTCACTCCAAAGAAACAAGCAAGAAAAAGTCTCGATGCCTTGCAGCTAGAGTAAAAATAGATCGTTCCTAATTGCAAAGCTAAATGGAACACAAATAACCCCCATCCCCATGCATAAGAGCAGATATTGCAGCATCTGAAACTCCGTAAGCACAGCTAGCACGGAGCAGGGGCAGTGAAACATCTACAAACCAAGCTGAATGATAACAAAAATGAGTGAGAGTTTTGGTCTCAGTAAAGACACCCAAGGGGTGCAGTACTTTATAACATCTACATTGCCCATTGTGCACCAAAGGGAAAAGCAGGTTCAATAGGAAACACTATGAAGGCTATAAAAAGAGCGAGCTCCAAATCAGCTAATTAGATGTAGCAAATCAACTTGGTGCTTAGGAAAAGCTAAACGCATTTCTGCATATGCTGTACTAGGTGGTACCTGGAATATGCAGCCCTGCCCTGGAAGGCTTACATACATATGTCCCGTAGTGGTGGGTAGCGGGGACACCAGGAACATACCAAGATGGTACAGAGATATGGTCTAGGGCCATGTAGATGAGACAAAATAGAGCATCTGACTCAGGAATCATCATGTTTAAAAGACCAGATCCTGGCACCAGCGAGAACCAAAACCTGAAGCACTCAACACATAAAACTTCCTAAACTCCTGCTTTAGGGCCTCCCTTCATCCTGGGCTGCCCTACAGCAACTTCTTGACCGGGCCCCCCGGACTACGTGTGGAATGTGGGACTGCAGCTGAGGAGCAGTGAGAACAGCAAAGGAATGGGTTTGCTGGTTTATTTTGCTTTTATCTTAACCTTCAGAATAAGTTCAGCCCCTCCCTAGTTAAAAGATCCCCAAGCACAATGGTATAGGCTGAGGCTGCCAAGGAAGAGATCAGACTGCTGCTTTTCTTCTGGCCGCAGAAAAACTCATATCATGATGGCAACTCCCTTCTAGAGATACATAATGAAAACATACATCATTTTTCTTACAGCATAACCACCGGTATCCTCCTGGGGTAGGAGAGGTGGCAGGGGAAAAATTACAGCAAACTTTTAAAGGAGCAAGTGTCACGTGGAATTAGCAAGTCTTAGTCTTTTTGCATGGGTGCTTGCACAGTGAGAGCAATGTCTCTATCTTTGCAGGCCTATCACTTCAGTACTTAAATGCTCTGGGTGGTATCTGTTGGTGTCAGACAGCTGGCAGCATGTATTTATATAATTCCACCAGGCACACTAAATAGAGATTTTCAAAGACATAAAAATCAGTAAAGCACTTCACTGCCTTCCGAGACCTTGAAAATGTTTTAGAATATGCTAGCTTTCAGATTGGATAGCAAAGCTGCCTTAATCCCCAGATGCACGTTACTTTCTGATCCTTCACATGCATCTAAACAAATTAGAGATTGTGACACTGAAAGATATAAAATCTTTTCAACTATACCGGGACTTTGATCTGCTGCTGCCTAGCTATCCGGCACCAGGAATCAACCAATTTTTAAAGGCTTGCAAACAACCTTACTTCCATAAATACATATTCCTTAAAATTCCACCTAAGGATGGAATTTCAGGATACCTCCACTCCAAGATACTGTGCAACTTTCTTTAGGGAGCTGTGCATATGCAGATACACAGACACATATACTACAAGCAGTATGGGGGCATGCATGTGTGCCAACCTGCATGTATTGATATACCAGGTCCCACTGACTCACAGAGTATAAAGGCAACAGTATCCTGGCACTGCAACTCCTCGCCCCCCACCCCTGCCACATCTAGTAAATCTTCCTTTAATTTACTTCATTTAAAAGAGCAAATGGCACTGAACGGACACTAATGGCTTGCTTTATCTGACAAGCAAGCAAGAAAAAGGCTTAAGAGCTTCTTCAAAGAAAAAGTGGGTTCCTGTGTCAGGGGGATAGCTTATCCCAGATGTTCAGGGCCTGCAACCACAAGCATCTGTCACCCATTGTGAATTGTAGCTCCAGGCAGCTCAAAAATTAGCAGATTGGTTTCAACGAAGTGCATATTTGCAGTCTGCCCTGGAAAGAAGTGAGCATAAATACATGGGTGCCAAATTCCGAACGCATTTATACAATGGCAGCAACTAACAGGCTGCTTTGCTGAGATGTATTTGGCCAGTCAAATCTACTGCAGAGGTCAGCGGTGGCCCCAGTTCAGAGAGCCCAAACCCGCGGGGCTGGCAGGGCAGCCCCCAGATCCCCCGGGCAGCGCTTGGTGCACAGCCTGCTGCCCTTCGGGACGCGCTGGCCAGGCTCCGAGCAGCCTCTTAGCACGCAGACTGCAGGCACAGACACAGCTCGCCGTCTGAGATACTTAAAGTCACAGATGCAAAGCTGAAGAGGGGTCCAGGCAAATACTGATTTAGCATTTCTCACCAGCATTTCTATGTGCAGAACAGCTGGGATATGTTTTACCACCAGGCTCAGATCCACTTCTCCTTTAAAACTACTCAAGGGACTTGGACTTGTAGCTTGTCACAGGCAGTTTATTCTGGGCACAGATTGCAAGGTGAGGTAAGAAAGTCACTGAGCAAGTAACACAAGGAATGATACTCCCTGGCATAAGGACTCTGCAGAAGTGTTACAGAGCTGATGGCCAGGTAGTCAATGGGACAAGAGAAGCCGATCTGCAGGCAGAGCTCAAAGTTTATACCAGTGAGATAATCCTGGCACACAGGAGTACACCTCGCTGAAGTTTTCTAAGCAAATTCTGCTCACCAGTAATTGCATTATTAAGTGTGATGAATTATATTTCTGGTTTTCAGTTTTTATTACTGGACAAGTTTCAGATGGCTATAAGAACCGGGGCTGGCATGTGGGAAAGAAAACAATCCACCGAGTGATGGGACCGCAGCACCGAGCACAAGGGCAGCACCCCACACACGTGCTCCTCCAGGGCAAGGTCTCCGAGGAAGGCATGTTCTTAGCTATCTCCTTCCGCTTTTCCTCCAGCCCTACCAGTATCACCTTTTATCTCCAGCATGCTGCAGAAAGCCACCTCTCGTCCGGGAGAGAATCGGTGCAAGGCAAGAAAAGCAAGAGGAGGAAGGGCTGGGTGTGGGCAGCGCAGCCTGCACATGCTCTACAAGCTGTCCCCTCCCTTGGCACCTACGCCAGCCACTCCTGTACAAACCCCCAGGGAGGACCCTGGAGGCAGCTGACAAAAACCATCTGGGTGAAGAAATAACATTGCTCCCAGCTATGTGGCAAGTCTGCTCCACAAAGAGAAGGAGCCTTTCAAATTCCTCCCCTGGCCATACTGTCTGGCTGCACAATACCCCAAAGGCTGTGGCACAAGGGATCTTGGAGAGATCAGACCACATTTCTGACCGTAACCAATAACAAAACCAACCTGCAGTAGGTTGTGTGGCTAAACCTCAAGGCAACAGTACTTTTCATGCACCTGCTAACAAAGACATTGCTTAAGCACAAGTAAATAGCCCAGCTACATGCATGCATATTTGCATTGACCACAGGTAAATACAAACTGTCAGCTGTCTCCAGCTTCTGGAGGGGTGCCAAGGTGACCTTGTAGGTTAAGAAGCTTGATCATCTGCCTTTCCCCCTCCTTTAAAAGCCCCGAAGGAGCCATCTCTCATTGTCATTACACCTAATAAAAATCTGTTTTATTCATTTAAAATTGTCAAAACATACTTTGTAAAAGTAATGAGATGTTCCAAGTCCACTTGTTCCAACATACACACAACTTGGTTAAAGGAAACCAGTTTAGGAGATACAGACACACACACAGAGTTAAGAGATTTTCTGGCAAGGACTAGAGATAAACATGTGCCTTTAAGAACCCCCCAAGCCTCCTCATATTGATGGAAAACAAACATTTCGGTGTGGAAACTTCCACTTTTTACAGGAGCTTCTTTGTTCAAATCATATGTTTAACGCAGGTTTGCAGAGGTGGACCTGCTGTGGCACGGAGTTTCTGTCAATGGAAGAATAAAGTCTTTTCTCCCTCCTCCTCGTTGGCCAGAGGTTTCATGCACCAGAGAGAGGCAATGCCTAAGAGAGTTTTGGAGGATCAGGGCAACGGCTCGCACTGAGCGTGGTGGACCTGCAGGCAAGAGTCAGGAAAGCATGTGCCACACACAGACTGCCCAGACCCTGCCAGCCCCAGGCAGTGCCCAGGAGCGCTGACCCAGCCACCTCTAGCCCCGAGGCAGTGACAAGAGCACTGCTAAAGCCAAAGCTTGCACGCTGGCTCCAGCTGCCATCTTGCAAATCAACCACCTTGGAAAAAAAATTGCAGAATAAAGCACTTACTTTATTAGACAGTAATGACAGCATCAACATATACAAGCTGGTATATCAATCCTAAATTAAGGAAAGAAGGAAAGCTAATTAAGTGCAGTTTCTCTTTGCACAGCTTAAGGAAGACTAATTAAAGCAGACAAGCATATCTGCAGAGCAGTTAGTCTTTTTACCTTTAATAGGACCTAAAATAAATGGCTAGTGCAGCCGTAGAGGTAAGATAAGTAGTCTGTTGGTGAGCTGGAATTACCATCATGGTAATTAAAACGTTCACAGATCACTGGACTGCAACAGCAGTTTGTTTTTCTTTGTGCAAATATGTACATCTAGACAAAGGTATTGGCAAGAATCAGCAGAGATAATACTATACAGTTGGTGCTGCAAGGTTTGGTACAATATTTCAATTTTTGCCAGC